GCTGAAAATTCTGCTTTGCATCACAGGAATAAATTACATTTCAAAATATATTCAACTAGAAAACAGTTATTTTAAATTGTAAATTTTTTTCACAATATTACTGTTTTTACTGTATTGATCAAATAAATGCAGCCTTGAAGACCTTTTTCAAAAGCATGAAAAAAAATCTTAACAACCTCAAACTTTTGAATGTCAGCTTATGTAGATTTAAACCTGGCTATAGACCGACCCATTAATCAGCTCCACCAATAGCCAACCATGCGCTGTACAAGCCAGGTAAAAGACTGACCTTTGACCTGAAGGGTTTGTGTGAGGCAGCAGAGGAGAGGAAGGCTGTAGCGGCCTTCATTACATCAGGGTCATCAGAGGTCAACAGCCCAGCCACGGCCCACAAGGTTTGAGGGCGGGGCTGAAGACACATGACGGACACTTCCTGTAGTTCCTTCACACAGCGTTCTGTATCCCCACAGCTCAGGGCTTCTTCAAGCATGACTGGTTTGGACACAGAGAGTTTTACGCTATGCTAAAACTGTGCTAATAATAAATAAAGCTTTAAACTCATTATTCAATAAAGCGTCTTACCCGCTTTGGCTAAATCCAGCAGGTGTCGCTCCATGTCCGTGACATTGTGTTCAAGAGTGTAGCGGAGAAACTGAAACACAGTGAGGATATCCTGTGCCAGAGGGGACAGCGATGGACACAAGGAAGAGGCCAGCTCGCTCCTGTCCATCATCTCATTCACCACCATCCTGATCACTGGATATACATGCAAACACAGGCAGATGAACTCTGATGTCACATTCACTGATGTTTCCTCCTGCAGATTAATATTGTTGTTATTGTCACTACCTGAGTCAGGAGAGTGAGGCAGAATCTGACACAGTGGTAATGAAAAGCTGAGATGCATGTGCTTCAGCACTCGGTCCAGTGTAGTATGAAACAGACCACCACTGCAGTCAGACCACAGAGACATCAGCGCAGGATGCTCCACCAGCCCAGGCAACACTGTTTAGGGAACCAAGAGAGGTTATTTCACAAACACAACTTTTCGACACACATAACAAAGGAAATTTAGCAGTCATAAATATTTCTTAGGTGCCATGAAATTGTATTTCATTCACATTATAACTGCAGGTAATTTTGCCACTTGTATTATAATTCCTTGGTTTAACAAAAACCTCAGGACACGTTGTGATTTTGTTCCTTACATTTACATTTGCTTAGTTTATGCAATATCACACATACATGTCAACACATTTAAAAAAAAGCATTATCACTACAGTAAAATATATATATTGATTTTAAAATGTAATAAAATATTATGTAACAATAAAAATATTGTTTAGCAAATAATAACAATAATAAAAAAATATATATAAAAAAAATAAAAAAATAAAAAAATCTAGAGAAACATCTAGCTTCGCGGTCTCTCTCTCTCTCTCATTTGGATGCACGTCT